CAGCACCTGCTGCCTAACTCCCCACCCTGCTTCCGCCTCCCTTGATGTACATCCAGAGGCTTGTTCTCCTCTGGGGGCGCCCCTACCGATCAGTACGAACAATTTCACGATGGACGAACTGGCGCAAGCATTGAAATATTTAGCCATGGGAAAAGCAGCTGGACACGATGGGGTACCACCAGAATTCTGGAACCCTTCCCCTTCCCTTTCTTGCTCCCTCCCTATCTCTCCCATCCCCCGTCTCTCCTCGCCCTCCCCGGCCCTTCCCTGGGTGCCCGTTCCTCCTCTCCTCCTCTTCCCTTTCACCTCCTCTCCCTCCCCCCCGCCCCCCCTCCCCCCCCCTTCCCTGAGCCTTTCCCAGTGTGGTCCCACCCTTATCCCCCTATCCTTAAGTCGGGCCTGTCCCCCTACAGGGGGATTTTAGACGAAACAACAAATACACCAAAAATAATTAAAAAATAATAGAAAAATAGCCTGGGGACTATTTTTGGAGTATGTGTGTGTGTGTGTGCCTTTTCGGGGATTTTTTGGTGTATTGTTTTTTTTTCTCGTCGCAAATCCCCCTGTAGGGGGACACGCCCGACATAAGTCTGGTCCCACCCCTATCCCCCCTACTCCAGATTTCGTGATAAAAGGGAGGGGGTCACAATCCTCCCAGACCACAAGTTTTAGACCCCCCCAGACCACCCATGAAAGGGCGGCACTTTGCCCAGACCCCCCCTAACCCTCCAAGACAGCTCAAATCAGACCCCCCCCCAAATGTGACCCCCCCTACTTTATTATGGAATCCGCCTTCTCCCTCCTGCCGTCTCATCCTGCCTTCTGACCTCTCCCCCGCCCCTCGCTGGAACGACTCGAGGCCTCATCCTTGGTTGCCTCGGGGAGGCTCGCCCTCTGAGCCGGGAGTGATCTCCCCCGTGCGGGACCGCTTGGGTGCTCGAGCGCCCAGTCATGCCAGGGGCCACCGCGCTGTCACCAACAAACCTTATGTCGGGCGTGTCCCCCATACAGGGGGATTTTCGACGAAACATAAAACATACCCCAAAAATACCCCAAACATATTAAAACATACTCAGAACAGAATCCCCAGACTCTTTTTGGATTATGTTTTGGTTCTGTTTATTTGTTTGTTGGTTTTTTTCTGTATTTTTCATTATTCGTCGAAACGCCCCCTGTAGGGGGGACAGGCCCGACTTAAGACAAGCCGAAACCGGCAGTCCTCCCTCGCGCGTGGCGCCCTGCGCCCCGCGGCGTCTTGCGAGGCTCCGTCGCGGGGGGGGGGGGGGCGTGGCAGGTCGGCAGCCTGCTGGAGACGCACATCCCCACCAACGGCCCCCACCCTGCTTGCGAGGAGGAGGAGGAGGAGGAGGGGAAGGAGGAGGAGGAGGTGACAGGAGGAGGAGGAGGAGGAGGAGGAGGAGGAGGAGGAGGAGGAGGAGGAGGAGGAGGAGGTGAGAGGAGGAGGAGGAGGAGGAGGAAGAGGAGGAGGAGGTGAGAGGAGGAGGAGGAGGAGGAGGAGGAGGAGGAGGGAGGAGGAGGAGGAGGAGGAGGAGGGAGGAGGAGGAGGAGAGGAGGAGGAGGAGGAGGAGGGAGGAGGAGGAGGAGGAGGAGGAGGAGGAGGAGGGGAGGAGGAGGAGGAGGAGGGGGAGGAGGACAGGAGTATCGAACAAACCATTGCACAAACATGCATTTTCTGACCTCCGCGCGGATATCATTTCGCAAAGGTCCAGCGCAGACCAAGGAACCCGAGCGGACTTTCAACATTTCATGTATGTAATGTTTATGCCCTCTGGCAGAACAGTGGTGTCCAGGGGTGGTAGCTTCTTGACACCAGAGGTGGTGCGCAAAGGGGGATCTCTGAGCGCGGTTTTTATACGGTCCAGGCTCGGAAAGTGTGGCAGGGGTGGCGTTTTTTCGAGCGCAGGGGGTGGTCACTGAACGCGGTCTCTATATACGGTCCAGGCTCGGGAAGTGTGGCAGGGGTGGCAGTTTCTCGACGTGGTCCTTGAGCTAGGTCTCTATACGGTCCAGGCTCGGAAGGCGTGGCAGGGGTAGCAGTTTCTCGACGCCCTTAGGGTACTCAGGCTCCCAAGGCTTGACCGGCGTCACCAGCGGTATCGGCAGTGCAACGGCCACCAGCATCATTCTCGCATGTTTTATTTCAGCGATCATCAATCCAGACATTCTATAAGTATGTGGGGTTCCTCGGTAGCGTAATTTTAGTTGTTCTTTTTATGTCGTCCAAAATCTTCCTGCAGGGGGACAGGCCCGACCTAACGATAGTCTCACCCCCTCGTGCAGCTGGGTGCAGCGCAGGGCGCGGCACTCGCGTCGTATCATGCGCGCCGCGGGGCAGTGCGGACAGGGGGTTGCGGGGCCAGCGCGAGATGCGCGCGAGGCTCGCTATGGGGCACGATCCGCGCGAGGGGTGCGCCAAGAACTGGCAAGGCGCCACCATGCGACCTTACTCACAGAGGCCGTACGGGTAGCTCCCACTGGGGCACGATCCGCGCGAGGGGTGTGCCGACATTGGGCGCGCGATGCCGCCATGCGAGCGCACGGCGCAGGTGGAGCTCCTTCCGCTTTGCGAGGCGTGAAACGTGTGATTGGTGCGCCGACCTGGGCACGGTGCTGGGGCGCACTCCGCGTGAGAGGCTTGCCGATTCGGGCGCAGTGCCGCCATGTAGACACACCCACTGGGGCCGTACGTGGAGCGCCCCGTGGTGCACGATCTGCGTCACGGGTGCGCCTAATTCACACGTTGGGGCCGCAGGTGTGGCTCTCTCTGGGGCACGATTCGATCCGCGTGAGGGGTGTCCAGGCATCGGGCGTCGCACCGCCATGCGAGCGCAGCCGCAGGTGGAGCTCCTTGGGCCTTATGAGGCACGAAACGTGGGATTGGTGTGCCGACTTGGGCGCTGTGCTGCCATGCGGACGCTCTCACTGGAGCCGTAGGTGGAACTCCCTGTGGTGCACGCTCCGCGTGAGGGGTGCGCTGAATTTGGCGCGGCGCCGCGATGCGGCGGCATACGCTGGGGCCGTCTATGGAGCTCTCTGTCGGGCACGATCCGCGTGAGGGGTATGCCGAAGTGGACATGCGGACGGCGAGCCAAGGCAAGGATGAGGCTGAGAAGGAGGAGGGAGACGGAGGAATGAAGAGGCAGGAGACGCGCGGCGCTGCGAATTTCAAGACAAGGGCCCAGCAATTCAGGAGGGGGTGAAAAAAGAGGGAGAACCGTGAGAAGGAGGAAAGGAGGAGTAGGAGGAGGAGGACGAGGCCGAGGAGGGGACGGAAATGGAGGAGGATGAGGAGGAAAAGGAGGAGAAGCAGGATGATGAGGAGGTGAGCAACCTCTACGGTACAACCTGGGGCTCACAATTTCTGTGGGGGGGCAGGTACGGGCTTCTACCTCACGCGTCGAGCTTGTAGGTTGCAGCTTTCGGAGCCGGGAGCGGGACTGGACAAGGTAATCTCTGGCAGCCAAGAGACAAGACAAAATCAGGAAACATCAAACATCGAGAACCGGCCAGCGAAACAAGTTGTCCACAGCCGAGACTCAGAGGATGGTTTACCCCCCACACACTTGCGCTTCCAAGCACAAGCAAGTCATAACGCGCATCTCTAGTTTAGCAGCGCGCGCGTCATCCTCCCCCCCTTCCCCGCCGCATCTCACTGCCCAGCCACGGGACTTCCGGATACCGTCCCCGACGACGTTCGGCATCGTGCCAGAAAGACATGGCACCATGCTTGGAACTCTTGAGTCGTACTGGCATGTGTTGCAATCGTGCTGAAATAGTCTGGTAGAATATCGTCCTTCTCGCCGTCGCCGACGGTCGTCTCTTCGACGTCGTCGTCGTCGGCGTCCGTCGTCGTCCGTCGTCGTCGTCGTCGACTGTCGTCGTCGTCGTCGTCGTCGTCGTCGTCGTCGTCGGTCGCTCGGTCGCTCGGTCGCTCGGTCGGTCGGTCCGTCGGTCGGTCGGTCGGTCGTCGTCGCCGTCGTCGGCGCACTTCGCGCGTCGCCGTCGGTCGTCGTCGTCGTCGTCGTCGTCGTCGTCGTCGTCGTCGTCATCATCGTTCATCGTCGTCGTCGCCGAGTGTCGTCGTCGTCGTCGTCGGCGTTCGTCTTCGTCGCCGCTCGGTCGCTCGGTCGGTCCGTCGGTCGTTGGGCTGATCCGTCGGTCGTTGGTTGTCATTCGTTGTCGGTCGGTCGGTCGGTCGGTCGTCGTCGCCGTCGCCGTCGCTCGTCAGTCGTCGCCATCGGTCGTTGTCGTCGTTTGCCGTCAGTCGTCGCCGACCGTCGTGGTCGTCGTCGGTTGCTCGGTCGCTCTGTCGCTCGGTCGGTCGGTCGGCCAGTCAGTCGGGTGGTCGGCCGGTGGGTCGTTGCCGTCCGTCGGTCGGTCGGCCGGTCGGTCGTCGGGCTCGGAAGCCCCCTGGCCTTTTGAGAAGCTTTCTGAGGCTCCCCGAAGACACCGGAAACTTCTCAGAAGGCGCGAGGCCTTCTGAGAAGCCCCGCCGCGTTCTGAGAAGGCCTTCTCCTTCTCACTTCTCCCCGTCGCTCGCCGCCGCTATGAACCTCTTCAGTGGGAGCACTGTTCGGCGAATCGTGGCTGGCGAAAGATGTTAGTGATGTCAATGACCGCCGGGGCCCAGGGACTTGGCCAGGGGCCAGTCGGAAATTGAGCTGGCGAAGGAAGCAGGCGTCCGCAAGGACACCGCCACGGTGTGAGAAAAGTTGGGATCTGGACTGGCGGCAGAAATTTGCGACCGCAAGGGCACAGGCCCGAGCCAGGCACAGTTGGGAATATAGTGCGAGTGCAGGAGAGTAGCGTCTGTTCAAGCGTAATGGTTCCGGGGCTACAGAGGGGCAAGGCTTGATTCTCCTCCTCATCATGCCTACCCTCTTCTTCTCATGGATCCTCGCGCAGGTGTGGTGATGGGCCTCGAGCCCGACCCACGCCACCCAGGCCTCCTGCGGATGTTTGTGGAGCACCGCAACGAGGCCTCCGAGCCCGCAGAGAGCGTTGTATCACCAGTGGCCTCGCTATGGAGGAGGTGGTAGAGGAAGAGGGCCCCATTCTGCACTCGATCCTTCTGCCTCCTACGCCTTTCCTGCTCCTAGTTCCCCTCTTCCTCCTCACCCTCCTTCATCTCCTCCTCCTCCGCCTTCGCCTCCCCCTCCTCGACATCCTCGTGCCGCAGGAGAAGGAGGAGGAGGAGGAGGAGGAGAAGGAGGAGGAGGAGGAGGGGAAGGAGGCGGAGGAGGAGGAGGAGGAGGAGGACAAAGGAGGAAGAGGAGACAGGCGAGATTCGTAAGGGTTCTGGCACGCGGGAGAAAGGAGAATATGTGGTGAGGACGGTGGAAGAGGGGAAGGAGGAGGGGGGAGTAGGGAGGAGGAGGGCTGATGATGATGATGTTGGAGAGAGATGGGGGAGGGGAGAGGGGAAGGAGGAGGCGGATCAGGAAGAGGAACGGAGAGTTAACGGATGGGGGGACGGATTGGATGAAAGCGGTAAAGAAAACAGGAGTATGAGGAGGAGGTAGGTGGGCAGGTATGATGTTAGGGACCGTGAGAGAGGGAGGGCGACTGGGAGGATTAGACGGAGGGTTGCGGAGTGAGGCTGTTGTTGACGGTGGTGATGGTGACGGTGATGGAGATGGCGACAAAGATGATGATGATGATGATGATGATGATGATGCTGATGATGATGATGATGATGATGGTGATGGTGATGGTGATGGTGATGGTGATGATGATGATGATGATGTTGATGATGATGAGGATGCTGATGATACTGCTGCTGCTGCTGCTCCTGCTGCTGATGATGATGATGAATATGAATATGATGATGATGATGATGATGATGATGATGATGATGATGATGATGCTGATGCTGATGCTGATGCTGATGATGATGATGATGATGATGATGATGATGATGACGGTGACGGTGATGATGATGATGATGTTGTTGTTGATGTTGATGATGGCGTTGATGATGATGCTGATTGCAATGATGCTGATGGTGCTAATGGTGATGATGATGGTGATGGTGAAGGGGCTGATGCTGATGACGTTGATGATGACGTTATTGATGATGATGAGGAGGAGGAGGATGAGGATGAGGATGAGGATCAGGATGATGATGACGATGATGATGATGATGATGATGTTGATGATGATGATGATGATGCTGATGATGATGATGATGATGATGACGATGATGATGATGATGATGATTGGTATGATGATGGTGATGATGATGATGATGATGATGGTGATGATGATGATGATGATGATGATGATGAGGATGGTGGTGATGATATTGATGATGAGGTGGTGGTTGTTATGGTGATTGTGGTGATGTTGATAGTGTTGTTAGTGGTGATGGTGATGGTGGTGATGTTGATGATGGGCAGGACTCCTCCCCCGTCCTTGGTCCTCCTTCCTGGACGAGGAGGAGGAGGAGGAGTAGTACGAGGAGCATGGAGTTGGAGGAGCTAAAGGAGATACATGGACGATGAGGGATGCGGGTGGAGGATGGGGGGGAGGCGTGAGCAGGATGGGGAGGGGGAGGAGCGCAGATGAGAGCGCAGTGGGGCAAAAGAAGAAGGGACGGATGGTGGAGGTGGAGGAGGAGAGGACGGACGCATCGAGGTGTGGGAAGGAGGAGGGGTATCAAACGCAAGGGGAGAGGCACGAAGGGAGCAAGGGAAGGGAAGCCGGGGCTGGACGGCGGGAGGATCTCGGGAGGCTGCGGAGCCGAGGAATAGAGAGAGGCCCTCCTCGGGCGCGCAGGTCTCCCGCAGCCCCCCGCGGCCCCCCGCAGCCCCCCATCCAGCCTGGCGCTGAGCGACAAGGCTACGTCACCGACCGGCCCCTCCCCCCCATGGATTCTTCGGGAGCCTCGAGACGGGGTTCAGTGCAGACGGGGGTCAGCCAGGGCGCCGGATCCTGCAGGATCCTGCGAAGACCCCCTCTGGCTGACCCGGGTCAGCGAGCCGCTCGTGGCCGCGAGGCGGCCGCGCCTATATTGGCTGACCCGGGTTTGCGAAGACCTGCGTTGCAGTTTTTTTTGCCTGCATTGCAGTTTTTGGTTTCCTGCTGACCCGGATCTGGATTGACCCGGGTCAGAAGATCCCCGGATTCCTCCCGAGGACCCAGGCTGCCGCCGACGAGTCAGACGCGATATCGCCCCTGTTCTCGTCCCGACTGTCGCTTGGCATCGCTCGGACGTGTGCATTTTTCCTTCGGCGAGGACCGTCGAGGAGCATCCTGGACCATCGAGCGACAAGAAACCACGCACGAAGCCGAAAAACGCACAGGAAATGGACGTCCGAGCGACGGCAAGGGATTCCTCCCGAGGACCCAGGCTGCCGCCGACGAGTCGGAGGCGATCTCCTCCCTGTCCTCGTCCCGACCGTCGGGCCCCCGCCCCCCGGGCAGCGCCCCCCTGGCCAGCGCCCCCCTATAGCCCAGGCAGCTGCTGCGCCCACCGTTCCTTCCTCAAACTTCGGTCCTCTCTCTCTCGGGAGGAGGAGGAGGAGGGGGAGGAGGAGGAGGAGGAGGAGGAGGAGGGGGAGGAGGAGGAGGAGGAGGAGGAGGAGGAGGAGGAGGAGGAGGAGGAGGAGGAGGAGGAGGAGGAGGAGGAGGAGGAGGAGGAGGAGGAGGAGGAGGAGGAGGAGGAGGAGGAGGGGGAGGAGGAGGAGGAGGAGGGGAGGAGGAGGAGGAGGAGGAGGAGGAGGAGGAGAGGAGGAGGAGGAGGAGGAGGAGGAGGAGGAGGAGGAGGAGGAGAGAGAAACGCAGACACATGCGATCCCCCGGAAGATGTGGGTAAATATGGGGAGCTGGGGGGGAAGACAAGAACCCAGGAAGCAGAGGGGAAACGTATGGGGAATCCTGTGATGTGTGTGTGTGTGTGTGCGCATCTATTTGTGAGTCCCTATTTCTCTCAGGAGGAAGAGAAACGCACAGACACGACTCATCGTCGATCCCTCGGAAGACGTGGGAACATATGGGAAGCGGGGGGGGAAGACAAGAACCCAGGATGTGTAGGGGAAATATGGGGAATCTTGTGATGTGTGTGTATCTATTTGTGAGTCCCTATCTCTCTCAGGAGGGAGAGAAACACACAGACACAATTCATCGTCGATCCCCCGGAAGATGTGGGAAAATATGGGAAGCTGGGGGGGAAGACAGGAACCCAGGAAGCAGTGGGGAAATACGGGGAATCCTGTGATGTGTGTGTGTGTATCTATATATATATATATATATATGTGTGTGTGTGTGTGTGTGTGTGTGTGTGTGTGTGTGTGTGTGTGTGTGTGTGTGTGTGTGTGTGTGTGTGTGTGTGTGTGTGTGTGTGTGTCCCGGGGCCCCTTGATGTTCTCTCCTGCCCGCAGGAGGAGTGCGAGAGGGGGAGAACCAGAGCGGGCCAACGAGGCATCGACGATGCTGCAGTGCCCCCCCCCCCTTCCCTGTCCCCGTGATCCGTCCGGAGTCCGCAGGGCTGCCCCAGGAGGGGCGCGACCGCGTGCAGGGCACCACCGCGCTTACCCATCGATCGCTGAAAGCCGGTATCTTTGGATTCCCAGATTCCAATCTGCTTTCAGCGCCTTCCTACTTCAAGAGTCGAGTGGTCTTCCCCTCTCCCCTCCTCTTCAGGAGGCGGGCGGAAACCCACTCCATTTCCAACGCCTTCCTACTTCATGTTTCTACCTACTTCCTCCGACCGAGGGGCATTTTGGCACACCCCTGACACGTTTCGCGCCCACCGGGGAACCCCAGCCAGCGGCCTCGGCGGTCGCGAACGCGTGGCGCATGGCGCCGCGCGCCACCCTGCCACACAGCCCCACGGGGCGCCCGGCGCCACACGCGGATGCATAGGGTTGTTTTCGCCAGGTTGATTTTGCAGCGGCCAGGTGCTGAAACTTCGGGACGTCTCCGACAACAGCCCAACATTGAGATCGTGCGCGCTCTATACGTGGCAGCTACCGCAAGCTCTGAACACGAATATGCGCGGAGTCTGCGCGTGAATCTAAGTTTGAAACGGCCAGTGGTCCGGTCCGCCCGCGTAATCAGTACATACTGTGATGGTGAGTGCACGCGACGCATGGGGCGAGATCTACATTTCTCAACCGATTGTGGTCCATCCGTATGGTGTAAGACGACCGTGTGCTTTTGATGATTGCAAGGTGGGGAGCACGTGTTGAAAACGACGGAAGCAGTCTGGAACATAACTTGCAAACACGTTTCAAACAGACGTAACGCCTGGCCTGCCCTACCGACACGTCTGGTGGTGCGCGAAGGAGATGCTAGATATTGTACCAGAGAAAAAACCCAATCAGTGGATGGTTTGAAATGGGATCGATAAAGAGATCGATAAGGAGATCGACCGGAAACCCGGGAACCTGGGAACCAGGGAACCCACCGAAATCGGACCGGAACCAAGCACCAGGAACCTGGGAACCTGGAGCGTGGAACTTGGGAACCCGGCCGGCCACCACAATCAGCGGGACTCTTTCGCCAAAGCTCTCAATCTCCGCCAGTGCCCCTTCAGTGCAAGCACCGGTTGGGGAGCGTCCAGCTGCCTCCCGCAGCGTCGCCACCGTGCCAGCCCTAGGGGGCCACACGCGAACCCTACCCCTACCCCCCACGATTTCTGAGGGGGAGGGTGGGGTTCACTTCGTTCGGGAGCTCCCGAGCGAAGTGAACACCCCCCTCCCTCTCAGAAATCGTGGGGGGGAGGGGTAGGGTTCGCATGTGGCCCGTGGCCCCCTACGCAGCGTCGCCACCGTGCCAGCGCGGCATGCTTCTGGGCGGGCAGCCGTTCGAGCAGGCAACGGGGGGGGGGCCTGCCCTGACCTTCCAGAGAGCCATTGTTTAGCACGGGAGGCCTAAAAAACCCAAAAAACGACACGGAACGGCCGAAAACCAAGACATAAAAATAGCTCTGGGATAAGATTTGTTTGGTCGGGTGCTATGTTTTAGCCCTCCTGGA